GATGCTGTACGCTCGGTTGTGTTCTCGCCTGATGGCAAGTGGATCGTCTCTGGCTCGAGCGACAAGACCATCAAGGTATGGAATTTCATCATGGAGCGAGTCAATCGCCCCCTCAAAGGGCACACAGATGATGTGAACTCCGTGGCGATCTCACACGATGGCCAGTGGATTATCTCTGGTTCATGGGACAAGACCATCAAGGTTTGGGATACCATTACGGGCCAGCTGAAACACACCCTCGAAGGGCACAAAGGGACAGTAAACTCCGTTGCAATCTCATCCGATGGAAGGTTGATTGCTTCTGGCTCAATCGACAAGACCATCAAGGTGTGGGATGCGACCACGGGCGAAGAACATTACACACTCAAGGGACACAAAAGGATCGTCGTATCTGTGGAAATACCGCCTGAGGGTAATTCAATTTTGTCTCGGGATGAGAAGGGTATTCGATATCTCTGGATTTATCGTGAAGGGCAGTATATTCGGACCGACGATATCCCAGCCAAATGCTCGGCGGTATCAAGCCCCCTGTTTTCAGTCGGCTGGATCCAAATTGATATTGGAAGCGAATCCCAGTGGATCCGCCATGGCATTCATCCTGTCAAAATTCCATTCTCCCTATTCCGTAATTTGAACAAAACTTTATTCACCAAAGCTGAAGGAGCCATTATGATCAACTCTTGGCCATGTATAATTCTGGTGGGTCTAACTATCAATCGAAATCCCTTTATTCGGCTCATCTAACCCACCTACTTGAACAGCCAATTCACCTCAACACTCCAAAGATTGGAACCGAAGTCACGCCTGTTTGAATTCATGATAACAACATCCATACCCGCATCCCCAGCGCACTGGTTATAGAGACAAAGTCAGGCAGCTCACCGATACGCATCACAACAATGGAAATAGGCTTCAAAGGGGTGTTTGCGAGGCTACACCATGCCCTCGCCAAGGATGTCCTCTGTGCTCGCATTCTTCAACAGAATGTTACGAGCCCCATTGATGTCGCGATCTATCAACAACCCACACTCCCTGCAATGATACACCTTGGCTGCTCCCAAGTCCCGGTTGATGTACCCGTACCGAGTGCATGTCTTGCTCGTGTACTCGTCCCGTGTCCTGGGCTTGGCTTTCGCCCGGACGGACAAGTGGCTCCGAGACCACGATGTAGAACTTGCCGGTCCTGGTCCGCATGATGCGAGTCTCGCAGAGGAAGGGAAGCTGCAGTCGGCGATCCTCGATGGTCCCGTCGGCACGGAGGCGGGGAAGGAAGCTCCTCTCCATCCGACTGTGCTTGAGTGGCCTCGTGACACTCTTCATGCTTCTGGACAGCATGGGGTCGCCATCAGCATCCACAGGCTGTGGAAGGGGCGGACGCAGAAGCTGCACAGGAGTGTCTTGTGCACCAGGAGGAGCGACACCGAGGAACTCACGGATGTTGACTCGGTTCCAGAAGCTGGAGGTGGACTGAGTGGGGCCCAGAGTCGCTTCCTCATGTGGCAGGACTCGGAGGTGGATCGCTTCTTGCTGAGATAGCGGAGGCGGAAATGCTTGACCTTCTCACCACGGGCCTTCATAGCCGCACACTTGGCGAGATTGGAAGCCAGGCTCTCGACAAACTCGTTGATGATTCCGTCGAGGAAGTCGTAGGCGTACTTCTCGGTGGTGATCCAGTGCTTGTCGGAGAAGACCCGGGTGCCGGCATTGACATAGCGCTGACGGAGCTGGGTCAGGACCATGTGGCAGAAGGAGAGGCACTTGCCAGGATGCGGGACCGGAATGGCGTCGACCAAGGCTTTCCACTGGTCCTTGTCAGACTTGGATAGACCGGGATGGGCCAGCTTGAGAGCGTCCAGGTAGGGAGTGTACGCCTCGGTCATCTGGGACCATAGTGTCTGTCGAAGAGTAAGCACCGAGGAGATGCTTGGTAGGAACATGGTGTACCCTGGTAAACACCCATTTGGAGACGATTACAATCCTTGTGATGCAATACGATTGCCTGTGCTACTTTTGGTTGCTGATACCAGTCCGCTGAAGCGGCAGGTATGCGGAAGCAATGGGTGGGAAGTGACATTCGTTTGTTTTTTTTTTCTTTCTTTATTGTGCGCCGCCGTGGCGGCGCACTAGCCATCAGGACCCCGTGGTCCCCGGCATCTCGCTCTTCATGGAGTACATCGAGTGTTTTAAAAGTCCCACTCAGGAATGTCGCCGGGCCTGGCTTGCCATCCAGCGAGTCTCCACATCAGGGTATGGAAGATCTGTTCCAGATCAATCCACAGACCGTTGAAGGCCTGTCCCACGATGGGTTCTTCGTTTTCCAGCTTGCCAACCTCTCCCAGCATATCCAGCAATTTATCAATAGGCCCGACACCTTCGGTCTCGGGCTCGGTCCATCCAGTGAAAATATCCTTATAGCCCTGTACCAGGGCGTCCAAGGCGTCTTCCTCATCCACACACGTCTGTGCGTGGGATCTGCTCAGCTCGATTCGGCCTTCGCCGTTGCGTTTGCACTTTTTGCAGAGGCGGTACTTGCCGTGTGGGTGCCCGGGGAATGCCCCCAGTCTCCACCACACCATTACTACGTGTAGTCTTCGTGGGATGCTTGGTCCAAGTTGGGTCCAGACTCCCGACATCTTTGTTCTTGGTGTGCACGCAGCCGTCAGCTGCTGTCCTCGCTTGAACGATGTGTGGGCATCGTGGGTCAGCATGAGTGTTTTGACCGACAGAATCTGTGTGCGATCCGTGGTCGAGTCGTCGTCCTTGGCAAAGGCCATGGACATCGAGAACGTGGCGTTCTTCTCCTTGCGGGTGCAGGTCAGGTTCCATTGGATGCATTCGTAGAAGGGCTTGCCAAGGTATGGCTGGTCCTTCATCGCCGTGGATCGGATAAAGCGGGTGATGAGGGCGATCATCTTGTCGTCGTGTGTGGCGACGTCTTCCCATCGTGCTCGGCATTGGATGCCGAGGACCTTGGCTCTTGTCGCCATCGTGGGTAATCCGCAATTGAGGTGCAGTGCTCCGTGTGAAGTCGTGCGAGCGGTGCGGAACAGTAAGTTCAGGCAGAAGGTTTGTGTCCGGTGGAGCCGCTTCTGTTCGTTCTTTGGGATGGCGTCGAGGGCGAGGCCGTATTCCATCATCGGCCGCAGGAACGTGCGGTATGCAATCGTTAGGGTCTTAGCCGTGAGGTTCCCAAGGGTCAGGCCCATCTTGGCCATGTTGGATGCTGCTTCTCTTGTCCTGGTCACCATTCGGTCGACTTGTTTGTCGATGCGGAATCCATTGACGTCGATCATGGCGCCGAGGTACTTGAAGATCTTGGTCTCAGGGAGGTTTTGGCCATAGAGGCGCAAACCCGTTTGTTTGTCGGTGCAGTGGTCTGAGAAGATGACCTCGCACTTTGGGGGTGAGAACCTGTATCGGTTTCTCCGGCTGTGGGCCTCGCACAGATTGAGGAGTGGTTGTGCTTGTCCAGGTTTGCAGATCAGGACACCGTCATCGGCGAACCACAGTGAGTTCACTTTGATGGTGGCCCCGTTGCGTCCCTGGAGGGGAGTGCCTCCCATATCTCGGAGACGTCCTGGTAGATCGTCGATGAAGGCGCTGAACATGAGTGGGCTCAGCACCGATCCTTGGATCAGTCCTTTCTGGAGCCATACTGGCTTGGATCTTCTGCCCTTGCTGACCATTTGGATGGATACCCGGTCAAACATGGCTTTGAGGAAGCCGAGGGCGATGCCGTTCATTCTTCGCTGCTTGAGCTTGGTCCAAAGTCTCTCGCGCCATACTGTGTCATAGGCGGCTTTGATGTCGAGGAAGATCAGAGAGTACTCCTCACCGTTCATCTTGTGGTGCTTGATCAGGGTGTCCAGGGCGACGATCTGGTCAAGGGTTCCTCGTCTGGCTCGGAATCCGCCTTGGGCGACGTCCATGTCTCCTGCCTGTTCTGCCAGGAAGGGGAGCATGATCCTTTCCACGATCTTCCTGCAGGTCTGAGTGAGGCCGATCGGGCGATACATGGCCGGGTCCAGGGTCGATCCCTTCTGCTTGTACACTGGGTGGATCAGCACGCTGTTCCATTCGCTTGGCACCACACTGGCCTTGAGCGCCGCCATGATGATCAGGCGGAGCCACTCGGCTATCACTGGTGCGACTGGTATGAGCATTTCGCTCTTGATCTTGTCGGATCCCGTTGCCTTGCGGCGTGGTGCCTTCTCGATGGTCTCTTGGATGTGCTCCAGCGATACTTCTGGGAGCCGCTTGTCGGGCGGCAGGAGGGTCGCCTCCGTGCTCAGGGGTGTGGGGTTATACTTCTGTCGTACTCTGTCCCGCTGTCCTGCGAGGCAGAGGATACCTTGCCAAAATGCACCACGAGTTTCTCGAGAGTCGGGTCCGAGTTGTCAAAGAGATGTGATCCTTCCCTCTCCTTCCTCGTGCGCATCGCTCCGATGGTCTTGGTCATCTCGGAGCACTTCTGGGTGTCCATGGTGGCCATGGATTCCTTCCATGACCCTATGCCGTTCTTGCGCTTGAGCTGGGTGATGGCCTTTCTCGTGGACCGAAGCTGACGACGCAGGTCGTCCAGCTCTTCCGTGTCGTACTCGGGGGTCTGGGCGAGCATTCTGCTCAGGCATCGCCGTTCTCGTTCCAGGCGTCGGATTTCGGGCCCCTGTGTGCCCTCGATCCGACCAGGGCTGATGCTGGCGCTTCCGATGGTCTCGCTGGCGATCAGGTCGATCGTGGTCTTGAAGATGCTCCACGCGTCGTCCATGGACTTCTGGGCTGCGGCTTCGCTGATGGCAATCTGGCTGCCCTGTTGAATGGGCGTGAGAGCCTGTTCCATCAGCTCGGTGCATCCGAGTTTGGCGGCGTTGAATGCGCGTATGTACTTTCCCTTGACTTTGGGGTATCGAATCATGCCGATCCGCCATCTCCAACAGTCCGTTTTGGTATATCGCTCGGGTTCAATGTTGATCTTGGTCCAGATCGGTTTGTGGTCTGATTCACCGTATCCTCGCTTCGAGTCCACTGTAGTAGCAGATGCCGACCCAATTTTGAGCATTTGCATCCCCCTGACGGGCAGCCTTGGTGAACCACTCAACAGCCTTGGCGTAGTCCTGGGCGACACCTTCGCCGTTCTCGTAGCAGAAGCCAAGGACGCACTGGGCAGCTGCATTCCCTTGGCTTGCCGCCTTGGTCCACCACTCGACAGCCTTGGCGTAGTCCTGGGCGACACCTTGACCGTTGTAGTAGCAGAAACCGAGGTTGATTTGAGCAATAGCGTATCCTTGGTCTGCCGCTTCCCTGTACCACTCGAATGCTTTTGTGCCGTCTTTGGGCAGGCAATAGCCCATTTGATAGCAGCTTGCAAGAACGCACTGACTTGCGCAGTATCCCTGTGCCGAGAGTTCGAGCAATATTTTCACAGCTCCGACTTCGTTTTTGCTGGTTCCGAACCCGCCGATGTAGCATCTGGCTATCATGTGCTTGCAGAGCCAATCGTGGTCAAAGCCGAGCAGGTTCAGTTGAAAGAACCTTTGAGCGGCCTCAGATAAAGACGAGATTAGGTAATCAGGAACCGTGATGGCAGCAAATCCAAATTCCGGCGTCTTGCTCTCGCAAAGGAGTGTATGTCCTTTGACTTCGTCCTGGCGAGCTCCACGGCCGAGGTAGTAGCACCAGGCCATCATGAACGTGGCAATGGGCTTCATGATGGCGTCGGATGCTTGCTGATAAACCGCTTGCCAGTAGGCGAATGCCTCAGTGTCACTCTTGGCCACGCCGATGCCGGTGAAATGCAGCCAGGCAAGCTCGAATGCGGCCTCGACGTTTCCCTTGCCGGCTGTCGTCTGATACAACTCGGCGGCAGTCTTCCAGGCAGGATCGTTGGCTGGCTTGCCGTTCGAGACGTGGCGTGCCGCAGTGATATGAGATTCTGCGTCACCACGCTGGATGCCCATGATCACAGCCCGGGGGACGCCAAACTCGGTGCCGAGTCTCTGGGCCAAGGTCGAGGGCTCAGGCTGACGAGGAAGTGCCGAGACGGGTGTGGTATAGCCAGAGTATCGAGAGGAGCGTGAGTCTGGGGAGGAATAGCCAGAATATTGGCGATGATCGACGACGTGCTGAAAGCCAGAACGGTGATCGAGGTTCGGCGAGCGTGGGTAGCCCCCCGAGTTCTGCAGATTGACTCCGACTTCGTTACTTCTGAAGGGATTATACGAAGGGCGCGAGCCTGAGCGGTCCGTGCTCAAGCCCTGTATCTGCTGGGAGAGGTCGGAGTGAGTGCGGGGGCTGCCGATTGGGGGTTGAGGCGTTGTGACATCCTTGAAGGCAGACAAAGTCGATATGATGTCCTTGAAGGCAGGGCGTTCGGTGGGGTCTTGGTGCCAGCATTGCTCGATGAGCGACCAGTATTGGTCGGGGATGCCATCGAAGCGGGCAGGTCGACGGCCGTTGCAGACCAACCGCTCGATTGCGCGCTGAGTTAGAGGTTGGCCGTCTTTTGAGGTCCAGATGTAGCCACCGTTCTTGAGCACCTCGTAGAGCATGATACCAAAGGAGTAGACGTCGGTCTTCTTGGAGGATCCACTTGGATTCTCATCATCGAGCATCTCGGGAGCCATATAGTCCAGCGTTCCCCCAGCCGACTGGTCCGGCCGAGCGGTGGAAGAGGCTGAAGTATGTTTGGTGCGGGCCATGCCAAAGTCCGAGATCACAGCGCGGTATTCTCCATCCAGCAGGACATTCAGCGATTTGAGGTCTCCATGCACAATGGCGTTGCCGTGGAGGTAGGCCATGCCGGAAGCAACCTCGTACATGAGGCGGAGGCGATCGTCGAGCGAACGTGGGTTCTGGGGATCGGAAATGTACCGCTTCAAGGTCCGTTCTTCATGAACGGCGAGACCATGAAGGGGCGCTCGGTAGTGTCGCACGCACCACGGAGCGGAAGGACGTTGGAGTGGCTCAGCTTGTACCAGACTTCGATTTCACGGCGAAACTGAGCAATCTCAGTCTCGTGGTAGCTGGTCAGGAGCTGCTTGACGGCAACATCCGAGCCATAGTAGGTTGCGGTGAACACCTCGCCAAAGCCGCCGCGGGCGATCGGTTCAAGGGAGCGGTTCGTGATGGAGCCGGCGGGGATGCGCCATAGCTCGTGCTTCATGGAGCGAGAGACCGAGGACTGGTTCTGCAGCATGTGGAGGAGCGGAGCGACAGCCTTTTCGACAACTCGTTGGGTGACGTCGCCTTCCTGAAGGAGGTTCTGGATGGCGTCGGTGGCTTGGCGGATTTTCCACTCCTGCTGGTTCAGACGAATGTCCACTTGGTCCAAGACAGCGACATTGTTCTGCTGGAGGAGGGTGGTGATTTGGGCGATGAGGGCCTGGTTCTGGGCTTCGTCGTGCTGGACAGCTTGGCGGAGGTCAGCTTCGTTGAGCATGTCGTTGCTGTTGATGTTGAGGGCCAGCTTCACACCCTGCCAGAGGACACTGAGCTCTCGACAGAACTGCTCGATTCGGCGGCGGATCTTGTTGGCCCTGAAGACCCGCTCGACTTTGTGGAGGGCCTGGACCTCGTTGGTGTAGTATTCCTGGATGGTATTGAAGAAGGCAGTAAGCCTGTCCGTTTGCGAGGAGAATCCAGGCGCAACGGTCCGAGACTGCGAGAGAGCGATCAAAATGTCGCGGGAACGACGGGCCAGGACGCCCCACGACTTTTGGCTCTCGTCCGCCTGCTGGACAGCGGCGAGGAACGCCAAGACAACTTGGACGAGGCCTTGGAGGGAGCGATCGGAATGGTGGGCGAGTGCAGTGATTTCACTGGCAATGATAGTGATTTCGAGGATCGGCATGGTTGGGAATCAAGCCTGACGAGGGAGATGCAACGGCGGAGCGGGCTCGAAGAGGAGCGGAGGCGATACCCTCCATGAGGCTGGTGTCTGTGCTGCGCAATGGTCACGCGGACATGCGCAGTGTCAAGCCACTCCGCGTGGATGGCAGCCCAACGAACACAAGGTTCACACAAATGATTGGGGCAGCCGAACAAGCAGTCACCATCTTCCAGAATGGCATTCCACATCATGACGGCGCACAACATGATCATCCTGTGTAGGGTGACACGGATGTTGCCGAGGTGATCTCTTCGAATGGGCACAACTTGTCGGGCGCAAGCCATCCCATTCGGCTCTGAGCTGTGGGATTGGGAATCGTCCCATTTCGTTCGTACCAACTGCACCAACACGGAGAGTATATACGAGCCTCACCTCCCCACATCCTATCCACCATGACTTCCATGATCGACTCACCTGGTCGCCTGTTTGCCCCATTGCCTTCGACATTGCTCATGAACGAGCACTTTCAAATGTCTCTGAATTTTGCCAGAATCGAGAAGCTCCTTCTCGTGTGCAGGTGCCCCAAGCCATTCTTGATGTCGAGGCTGACTCGATTCTGCCGAGACGAGGATAAGTGCGAGTTCTCCTGGCTTGTTCCCTACAACGAGAGGGGAAGCGTGTCTGTGATGTACATTCTGGCCATTGTGCTGGATGAGACCGACACCAAATCGGAACGAGAATCCTTGCCACGACATCACATCAGACGGCAACAGGTGTTCATGTTTCTCCCTGGAGCAGCAGCTGCTGGATATCCGATGGAGCCAACGTACCTGGATTTCTGCTACATGCAGGGTCGTGTGTTTGACCACCACGAAGAGATCATTGAGCATGTGCTCAAGTACACATGAACCACTCGACGGCAAGCAAGCAGAAAGCGGACGAGTGGCTCTCAAAGGCTGCAGCCCAAGGATTCACGTACGCCCAGGCGATGCTCGAGCATTTTGCCCAGAAAACATGGCCACTGACGACGATTCAGAGGATGTAGAGGGGATTGAGTACAGCGAGGCCAGCACGGAAGAACATCTGGTGAACTTGACCGATGGCTGTACTGATGCAGCGCACCTAGCACGAAGCCACAGCATGCCACCTGTGCTTGTCTTTGTCGCTGTTCTATTCGCACTCGCTCGACAATCCTCCTCATGGGCGCCATCTACTCGGAGCGGGGCTTGTACTGGGGATAGCAACCACTGTGGCCTTGGTGACAGTCTCAGGGCAGCACTCGAACTCAACCGATGGGCTGGATGATGGTGATATCGTCTGCTTGTAGCGACGCACCAGCATGCCCAGCAATGCCGCTGCCCACTCGGCTCTTTCAACCAGGGCATCAGTGTCGAAGTACTCGCACCTCGCTGGAGTTGAGGACATGATCCTGCGGGTTGGTGACGACCGCTCGATTGAACCTGCGAAACACTGTCGAGTCACCCTCGCCATAGTCAAACATGAATGGCAACTTGTCCACAACTACGATCATCTTGAAGGGCTGTGGCGACCAGTGGTGCCCAAGGAGCGGAGATTATGAGCGATCTGCGAACACACTCTCTTTCCAATGGTCCCTGCCTCTCATTGACTCCATTGCACACCCTTTGCCATGCTTGCACCCGCTCTCACTCCCGCGCCTCACTCCCGAGTCACATCTGCGCATTCCATCCCACCAATGAACGACACAACCCCGCTCAACTCTCCAATGCGTGCCTGGTTGAGATGTGGCCAGTATTGTTGTTCCTCGAGTCGATTGTACCTCGCACTCTCACACAAATCCCATTCCATATTTGTTTTTCATGACCGAGTCTGGTCGACTCTGTGCTGTGAATAGGAAGACTCGATTCCATGTCTGATTCCATGTCTGATTCCATGTCTGATTCCATGTTCAATGCATGTGGCGATACCTGTGGCAATGTCCTGAGCAACAACGACTCCAGCCAGCAAACCATCGGATCGAGCCAGGCTTGTGTGTGTGTTTGGTGGTGGTGCTTGGCCTGCCAGGGTCTGGCTTGCTTCGCCGCAATCTGCCTCTCTGTCTCCTGTCCATCGCCATCACCCACTTGCATCCCTCCTGTCTCCGTCAACATGGCAAGCATGAACGAGCCTGCTCCAAACACAGCAGCATCTCCCGCCCACCAAGCTCAAGATGAATCCAAACCAACCTCGTCGATGCCCGATATCGCTCAGCTCTCACTCGAACACAACCCAGACATCTTCACCATCATCTGCTGTAACGACAGCTTCCAGCTTGCCCTCGACCACAGCACCATCAAGGCCCTGCTCCGAGTGTGCAAACGAGCCCAGTCTCTCCTGAGCTCCAAGGTGCCTCGCTTCCTCACCTGGTGCCAGAAGGCTGGATTCTGTCGTCCAGATGGACAGATGCGGATCGGCCTCACACCCAGTGACCAGATTGCACTCTCCCTGCGCTGTGATGAACAAGAGACAGCCGATCGATCCTGGCTCGAAGATCAAGCTGAACAAGGCACTGCTGCTGCATCATATCTCTTGGCTCGGGTGTTGCAATCTGAGATCGGTGAGCAGCGATATCCGACTTGGTTTGAGCTGGATCCCACCCCGCCGCGAATCTTCCACCATTTGGAGAAGGCAACGCAAGCTGATCATTCCGTGGCTCAGTTCTATCTGGCTGGACGTTATCGCAATGGACTCGGTGTCAACCAAGATCGCCCCAAGGCTGTCGAACTGTATCGAGAGCTTGCAGAACGTGGAATACCTCCGGCCCAAGTTGTCCTTGGCAGTTGCTACGAAAGTGGCGAAGGTGTCGATCAAGACTTTGACGCAGCCATTGAGTGGTACACCAAGGCTACAAATCAAGGCAGCGAAGATGGTCGGCTCCATATCGTGTTGCTCCGCGGCTGGTTCTCGTTCATCGGCCATGGTGTCGAACAGAGCGACGAGGTTGCCTTCCACCACTGGCAGGAAGTCAGCACCAACTCCACCGACTCAGTAATCCAACCCATCGCAACGCACATGGTTGGATGGATGCACTATCTCGGCCGGGGTACCCAGCAGGACAAGCAGAAGGGAATCAAGATCATCCGAGAGAACAGATCGAATGAGTTCCCTTTCGGAGAAGACGAATGTCTGTTAGCGGGTTGGGAGTCCATCAGCTCCGACTCATCCGCCGCACGCAAGCTATTTCAGGTTTGCCAGCTGGGATCGGACCGGGACTGGTTGTGCAGGCATCTCATGGCCGTATGTCTGGTCAATGGATTCGGAACCACCCCAGACTGGGAAAAAGCCGCTGGCATCTTTGAGCAACTCGCAAACGAAGGCCACAGCGACAGTCAGTTGTGGATTGGAGATTGCTATCGATGCGACAAGGGAGTATCGATGGACGAGCCGAAGGCATTCGAGTGGTTCAGCAAGTCCGCCGACCAAGGCAACTCATACGGACAGTGGATGGTTGGTTCGTGCTACTTGAATGAATGGGGAGTCATCCGTGACTACTCCAAGGCAGTCGAATGGAATCGCAAGTCGGCTGAACTGGGCAATCGATACGCACAAGGTGATCTCGGCTATTGCTACCAATATGGCCGTGGTGTCCCGCAGGACATCGACAGTGCCGTCTTCTGGTATCGCAAGTCCGCCAACCAGGGTTTTGAATATACCATCGACAAACTCAAGTCTCTGGGAGGATGGCCTTGATATCAGGTTTGGCCGATGACGCTTTGATTCATCATCCATATGAAATTTAGGAGATCACATCCAATAAATCGAGGAAACCACCTCACCAACACACAAAGTAATGATGTTGTATTTGACGTTCATTACATTCAATTCGTACAATATACGAATAGTGCTGTCCCATATGAATCGCTGATGTTGATCGACCGAGAGAAACATCGAATGAATCGACAACGACAACTCGACACTCGGCATCGATCCTGGCTCTGCAACCACTGATGAGTAGATACTCAGTGTCATCCCGACCAACAGCGCCATTTGAGACCTTTGAATGCAGGCAGCAAGTCGACTATTCTTTCAAGTACCGAGACGTTCATTGTGGTTGTTTCCGTCGATCTCCACTATTCAGGAGTTCAGAGAGCGTAGTTATCCAATTCCACCAGCCATCGTCGATATCCACTTTACCGACTGGACATCAGATTCAGCATCTCGCACACAAGTCCAAAGGCCTTGCCGACAAGCTGGTAAAGCATGGAATGAGCCTGAATCAGTGCTTGTCGAAGACGGTGGCGAGCATCTTCAAGAGACTCATCCGACCCATGATCGAATATGGACTGGCCCTCGAGACCCTCAGCAAGGAGCAGGCAATAGGACTCTGAAGTACTCTCCTGGTGGATAGTGCTGGAAGCACAATAGCCTTACAAAGATCCCTCGCCGGGCTTCCGCAGATTTGACGCACTCCTCTCTTGGGGCCACTAGTAATGGATCACACACCGCACTGCGAACACAGTCCTCATCGACTGGGCTTTGGATTTGACTCGATGTGCAGGCGTTGTCATTTTCAATTCAGTACGATGCGAAACAGAACATGCGGTACCCTTCTCCGGCAGCAGGATCGTCTGGGCTCTGAATACTTGCCCGCCACCAATGCATCAACAATCCCATCGCTCAGCCATTTCTGCTTTCACTGTCCTGAATGCCCAGCGAACACAGTCTGTGTTTCCCACTCAACAGCAGTCAAGACCACACTCACATTCACTTGAAAGAGATGTATTGGATGCCACCGACAAAACGACGGCGTTTCGAGCAATCGCAATCAAGAATGGGGCGCGAGCAAAAATGAACTGAACTGTGAAGCAATGACTGACTCGCGAGAAGCAAAGAATTCCAGGACTGCGAGAACAGTGTATGCAAAAGTGAGAGTCGGCTCGGAAGTGTGGATCCATATCACAGCGACTTGTCCAAGCTGATGCTTGAATGTCGCCCGACACCTTCTCTGACTTCAAACCAGCGACCAAGGCAGACTTTTGTCTGTGCAATTTCATACTCAGCAAGACTTGCATGCAATTCCTCAGCCGTGGTGGGATCCGGTCGACTCCGAGGCCACTGTGACGACATCCAACCAAGCAGAACCGTGTTTCCAGACGGTGGAATGTTTGCTGGCGGATAACTCGCTGATCGGACTCGCTCATAGACCGCTGACCAGCACGATTGGCCTCCACTTGAAGGTCCTGTGACTGCTGACCAGTTCATGGGTGCGATCCTCAGTCCTCCCACTCTTGCCTCTCCTTGGCTAGGTGACTGGAAAGGTAGTGGCCATCGTACTCATCACCCAGCCGCACCATCCGGGGGGCCGTTATCCAGACCACTTCCTCGGTGAAGTACTCTCTGCTATGAACTGACCCGGGACTTCCCTGCCGGCCTTGTTACTCATCCTCCCATCGTTCGTCAACAAGGTCGCCAGGCACGCCACTGGTTCTTGATCAATATCTCAATCCTTCCCATGTCGGTCGGTCCCCAGACTGGCATCCAAGTCATCACCACTGTTCCGTCCCTCGGGAATCGACACTGGTATTTTCATCATCGGCATTCTTGGTCTGCTCTTTACCAAGACTGATCAAACCGACGCCGCGGTTGGGGATTTGTAAATGCTTCGCTGGCTTCTCTGCCTCAACGGCCTCTGTTGTTCAGGCTATGTCGTATACAAACATGCAAACTTGACGCCGCAATGCTACATGCTCGACAACCGCCGAGTCTTACTATCGCGACGAGCGTATCTAGAGGCATCACGGATCTCCCTTGCTGCCAACTCAGCTCACTTCATCAAAGGTCTGCGTAGACCCATCGCCACGGCCATTGTTCCCGCCAGTCGTCGACAGAAAGCTTGTCTTGCACAGCCTGATCTTGAAACTCGTTGAACGATCTCCACGAGCAGAAATCGACGTCGACTCCGGAAATATGTGCTTGGCTGTATCGGCGCTGATATTTTCGATGTCAAAGGATCTGTTAGAATACAAGCATGCGTATCGATGGATGGCAGTGGTCTCGCACTTGCTGAATGAACAAGTGTATTGGGTTCCAGCAAAGGACACCATTCACAGATAGTACAGAGCACCCGAGCTCAAGTTTTCAACACTTTCCGATGCTTCCTAGATTACTCAAAGGAGCAATGATACAGCACAAAGAGCCATGGCGAGAGCCATAGACAATGATTGTGCGGCGCTTTTGCCTGGGGCAGATGACGCATCGGGGGCAATCGCACAGGTGCTGGCGACAGGAGTGAACGACGGGGTTGTGGCATAGTTCCGAATAAAATCGGATGTTATCAATGTGGCATTGTTGTCAAAGACGCCACAGACACTACTGCATTCACCAATTGGTTGAAGAGGGTAGTATTCTGCAAAGTTGTAGCCTGGATGCGCAAGTGCAGATCGTCAGCAAGCACACTGCACCCAAACATAGACGCCCTATCCAGTTGGTCACTTTGGCACATAATAACACTCGGTGCCTAGCCACAGCGCCACTTACACATCTCATTATTGGTACCAAATCCACCACTGATATACCCATTCGTGTTCTGGCTATTGTAGACACAAGTGGTGATGAGGGTATCGCCCGGCAGAATCTGGCGAGGGGCAATGTCTTGAAAGTTCTGTGCCGCCAAATTGTGTTGGGTGAGCAGGCGAGTGGGCAAACGCCAGGGCCTGTCTTTAGTGCCAAGTACTCTGTCTGTCCACCCGGAGATGCTGGCACTTTGCTTGAGTAAGCTCGGCATTGATTGCCCGAACCAAGAGTATGATCGCTGTCACACTTTGACTGCCGACCAACTTACTTGGAAGTTGAAGTCAAAGTAGTCCTTACGACCAAGTTCTTGAAGCTCTTTGCCGTTTCGGATCACTCTCGTTGAGATCGACTGCCCACTGTATGTAGAAGGAGACATCGTGGTCAAAGATGCGCTTCATAGGCTGTAATGCAGTCTTGCACGGCCCAGCTGAATCCTGACGTTTGTGTCTTGAGGGCTCAATCACCAGCCGCTAAACACACGGGCACTACTTGGCCTGCTTCGACTTACGCGCCGTGCATGTGGAAGAAGTTGCCGACGATGTTGATGCCGCTGCTGGGAAGCTGGTTGGTGCACGAAGAAGAGCATGTCGATGTGAGTGCATAGGCACTGCGTTTCGGAGGGATGGATATGATCTGGGGGTCGGGCTGAAGGCCCAGGGTGATGACGCCGAGATCGTTGGCTCGCAAGGTCTTGGTGAGAGTCAAGTTGAAGCCTGCCAAAGGCACAACCTGGCCGTCGAGGGCTTGAGGATTATTCACGTGCATTTCTGGAGGGCATCGGTGAGTAATCACAGCCATGTGGATTCGTATCAGTGAGAGACATGCACCATAGCGTGGCTCGCAACGCATCCGTTGGCACAGAAGCCACGCGGCTCTGTGAAGAATGTTGGTGTAGTTCTTGCCAGCAAGGAGAACACGAAAGCATCTTGGTGGCCAGTGTAGGAACAGTCGTGAATGTCCCTCGCAATAGATAGATTACCGAGCAGAATGGTCTGGACATATCCCTTGCCGACGGGCTTGCCGTATCCATTGGGACCGTCAGGGTAGATACGAGGAGCCTTGTTCGGAGCCCATTCGAACATGAAGCTATGTTTGATATAATCGATCGAATTTCAGTCATGAGGATGCTCGGACCGTGGAATGTCTGGTCAACATGGATCGACCTCGAGCGAAATGGCGTTGAGGGTCAGGCAAAGCTCGTGTAGAGCAGCGCTATTCTTGATGAAGTATCTGGGGTATGCTGTATCCACCAAGCCGCTGCGCATATGTGCCTTTGCACAAATCATATCAATTCTGGCTCGTCCATGACTCACCGACTGCAGCCCTGAGTGGCAATAGCCCAGTCGTCCGACCCGGGGATGGTGCAGAAGGGAGTGGCAATCTTGTTCGTGGAGGACTTTGTGGGATCGCAGGCGTAGCCGACCATGTGATGAACAAACGACCTAGCGACGAGGGGATCGAGCAATCAGTAAGTCGAGAAGAGGGAGCATGGCAGGAATCAAATCGAATCGACTAACTAGCCAACCAGCGAAAATGCAGGCCGAGATACCGACGAGTTGTGGAACCCTTCCTCCTTGATGATGTGGTACTTGGCATCGGTAGGCAAGTCAAAGGTTTGATAGCAGTACGACGTTACGCTGGCTGGAACGGGGACTTGATTCATAAACATCGAGAAGATAGTGGAGTCGGCCGGAATGACACCGCCATTGACGATGGCATTGTTGGCGGCATCGCTGGCGGCACTCAGGAGGATGGTCTGGTAGCCCATATCACCCGAGGCATGTTGGGAGAAACCCGAGCCCGAGCCGAAGGCATAGATGACGACTTGGTCGGTCTGGTTGTCCGTTTTGATGGCGCGAACCTGGGGGTTGCAGCCAGCGCTGTTGAACCGGGTGAAGACAAACGAGGTCTGAGTGGCACTTGAGTTGCTGTAAACGAGCGTGAGATCCTGGACCTGAGAAGGAGAGGGCTGGCCCGGAGCTGCTGCGAACATGCGCTGCAGGGTCAGCGGCGACTGGGAGCAAGATGCGGATGAGTCAACAAGAGGGGAAAGTGCCAGGAAATAGCAAGGGATCGGAATAACGAGGGCAGAGAGTGGACGGATGAAGAAGCGAGGTCGAACACAACCCATGGTCCAACATCAAGCAGTGATCCGCCAGGCGGTGGGTGCACGTTGATACAGAGTGGATCAATGCAGAGTGGATCAATACAAACCGTATCGATCCAGAGTGTTTAGCAGTGATACGTACCCCTGGGCTCGAGGCCATGGCGAGGGCAATGTCGGCGCCAACCATGCTCCCGGTATCGGAGAAGCCAAGACCCAGCCATGGCACGGTCTTGTTGATGGCAACGCCAATGGTCGTCGAGTTGCCCGGGACATTGACGGTCCAGAACATCTCGAGGGGAGTTCCGCCCTCAGTGATGAGCGTGGTGTGGCGGGTGAAGTTTGCGACTGGGAAGGGAATCCACTCGTACGGCGAGGGGTTTGGGGCCGCAACCGCCAGAGAGGCTATCGCAGCTGCATAGAGAAAGATAAGGATGTCGAGACTAGGCTTCATAGCGAATAGGGATGCTGGACAACCAGAGGCGGGATGTTGGAGATCGGATGTGGATCGCCAGGGACAGGCGACAGGCGATCGGCGTTTTATGGACGGAGTGGTTGTCGAGGGAGTTGCACATCGGGACCGCCAAGAGGGCACATGGAGGGAGGAGACGGCAAGCCTCCGCGTTGATCGACATTTTCAATTGACCTGGATGCAATCATATCACGAGGGCATTTGAAGCCGCCTGTTCAACAGACCAGGTCGACAGAGCAGGTTGAACTGGGTACGTTGCTCAGCTATGGCCCACTGTGGCTCGGCACAAGCCCAGATCGATGGCAGCGCTCCAGCTCCATCACGGTGCCACTCACATTCTGTTCTGTACTGTCCGGCACTCGTTTCCCTCGCTTGTGCGTGGGCACAGGTGGACTCGCAATCACCTGTGCGATGCATTTTCTTGGCGCCCATGGACATGGGCGATGAAAGTTACACAGATTCTTGGGCTTGACGATTTGTGGAACAAATTCCAAGTCACACCCAGGCAAGCCCAAGTCAAGCCCAGGCAAGCCCAAGTCAAGCCCGGCACCGCTCCCGAGCTTGGAACAGAGCGGAATCAGTCAGGCGGACACCTCACACCGTTCTCCGTGAGGGGATCTGCAGATCTGCGTGACCATCGGCAGCTAAGCCAAGCCAGCATGTATATCGACCACCGCACGACATGCTATAATGGTTCGCCGCAGTCTTGCCAGAGCGACTTTGTGCGAAGGATGCTCCAAGCCAGAGGGACTGGAACAGCGATACATGGGCATGAGGCATGGAGAGCCAACGAGAGGGGGACTGAACCGAGATTGCATTTTGATCATGACTCGCAAAACGGCGTTAAATCATAGAGTCTGAGGCAAGAACGTTTGAATGGCACAGGTGGCACTCTGGCCATGTGCAGCCGAGACAGGAAGGTCGCAAGGCTCACCCAAATGTCGATGCGAAAGACTTCGTCGCTGCCAGCCAGCTTCTAGTGATTCTCGGTCCTGGTAACTATGGTCGGCAAGCAGCGGCAACCATGATACCAGGTAGGATCCAGTGGAGAGCAGGCCATTATTAAGACTTTGCCTTTACGTCCCTGGCGGGCTCTGGCACTGGGTGTTGGTTTTTGCCAACCAGGACATTTTACAGTCCTCACTGCAGCTCTCTATCCCCTGGGGACCTGTTTGCGGAGGGACGGCGATGTCAAGTTTTGCCGAACTCATCCATCCAGTGACAGTTTGGAATCTGCAGCTCCGACTTCCATGTCCAGACTTGTGCTGACGTATGCCTGTGGCATTACTTCCTCAGGCTCCTACTGTCGTTCGTGGCGTATCCGAGGGATTGGCGTCCATGACAGACATTCAGTTGCGATGTCATCCAACACCGCCACGACATCCAGCCAGATCGCTGGTCTGTTGTTGAGGATTCGTTCGCGTTTGGCTCGCCATTTGCTCAGTTTTTCCTGGTCGATGGTGGCTGGTCTTGCGGGCACTCGAGCCAGCTTGGGGAGTGCGTCGATTGCAAGGTCGATGTACGTGATGCCTTCGGGGATCCTCGCAGGATGTACATACTGCTCGAGACGGTTCTTGGCTCGGACACATTCCGACGCATGTTTCCTGTTCACGGGAATTTTGGGACCATTGGGTCCGGGCTTTCTGCACGCTCCGTCAGGTTTGGGAGGGAAACCTCCGACCCGTCAGAGGAACATTCTTCGGGCTTGAGCGACTGATATCACTGGCATCCGTGCGGTCAGTCCCGCGGCGTGTGTGGGAGCGTGGGATGCATGGAATCCTGGGTCACTCTGTGGTCGAGCCCGTTGATGGAACATTCGATGATCGAAATGGGGTGCACAGTTTCATAGAGTGAGACGGTGTAATTGGAAGTCACGGGGTTTCGTGGTGTAGTTGGTTATCACGTGAGTCTAACACACTCAAGGTCTCCGGTTCGATCCCGGACGAAACCATTCTCTCGCTCCGCTAGCTCAGTTGGTTAGAGCGTGGTGCTAATAACGCCAAGGTCACAGGTTCGATCCCTGTGCGGAGCATTTTTGCTTCCCTTCTCTGTTTTCACTCCATTCCATCCATGTTTCCCATCCATTTTGATTGCCACACTCATTCCACTGCTGTTTTCACATTCCTACTCTTGTTCTCTGTCTTCCTTCGTTCCTCCGTCTCTCATCGATCATCATCTACTCGCTCACGCTCGTGTCTCCCATCTGCCACAGCCTTGATCCATCTCACTGCACTTCATCCAGGCTCTCCACACCGACACCACTGCACAGACACCATCCACAGTCACGGCGAATGGCATTTCATGATGCACCAAGATTGTCAGGCATCAATCGATTGAACAACCCTGTCCTGGTCCCCGTTGCCACTCGCATCGTCTGATTGTTGTCACACTCCAAGCCATATCCTGCCCACTCGTGTTGTATTCCATTCACTCCTTCACGTCAGTCTGATCCCTGTCGTTTATCTTGACGGTCTTTGTCTCGTCAGTCGTGGCTCGCTGGTCCAGCAACTCATGTTGGTGTCTTCCCACCAGATTGTCTGAGAATACATTTTCTCACTCCAATATCATCCTCGCTGTCGCCAATGGCCATTGCCATCATCAGCTGAAACCAAACCTGAGTGCACATCCTGTCCCCCAAGCGAGGCAGTACTCCAATTCATCCAGATCAGACATGCATCAGTCGAGCCATGCTACTACCTTTCCAATGTCCCGCCCCCACTATCGCCTTTGCACATTCTCACGCCGTGCTCACCATTGTGCAAACGCCTCTATCCGGCGGTTTAGTTTTGAATGAGGTGCGGTCAAAGCGATTTATTCAAGTTTTTCCAAAGGTTCAGCATTAGAAAGAGACCAATATAGCCATAGTACTCGCACGAGAAAGCATTTTGGTGCTGCTTCAGAGCCAGGATAGAGTAAGTTTGAAAGCAGATCGTATAGTAGGCATAAAAGAAGCACATTTGAATGCAACGGCCCAAAGGACCAGCCACGGCAACATGCTTCAGAGCATAGAATAGCGCCAAATGTTCAGACAGATCGATTGAAATAGAGATATACGGATCGATAGACAGACCGATAGACAGACAGACAAACAGGGACAAAGGGACAACCCATTACCCTGGGGGCTATCAAAAGCTCTGGCTGGCATCTTGCGGAAGCTTTACAGAAACAAAGTCTTCCACGATGGTTTCGAATGCAAGCGAGTTTACTTGCTGGTGGGGTTGCCAAGGTAGTCCTGGCCGAAGCAGTAGTAATCGGGAGGACCGTTGGGGTTGAGGGCCCAGTAGGGCATCAGAAAACCGCCGATCTGGTTGCCATCTTCATCAGTCTGGGTGAAGAGCAGCTGGAGGATACCAAGAATGGTGGCGCCGATGCCGACTCCAGAGTCGAGAGCAACGGACAGGACAAAGTTGTACTTTTTCCACCACTCGTTCCTGTAGCGGAAGACCCAGTACTGAGACACAAAGGCGACGATGAGCGGGGTGACGAGGATGCCGGTGTTGCCGCTCTGGGGACCGCCCCAGTTGGCCATGATGGGGATGTTGACCAAGTGCCAGTAGGGGTGCTTGTAGAGCTTGTTGCCGAGCCAGGGGATAACAGGGGCCAGCAAGCCAACGGGGAAGGCCCAGAGGATGTTGTGGTAGAGAGCGCCGGCACCAAAGAACCGGGTCGGGGCCACGGCTCCCCAAATCGTGCCAGCAGAGTAGAACACACCGTAGCCAGCAGCCTGCCAGTCACCCTTGCCAAAGAGAGGCGAGACAACAAAGGCTGTAGCGACAGGAACACAGACAAAGGCAGACAGAATGCAGCCGATGAGCTGGCCGGCAACCATGGCCTGGGGAGGCACTTTCATGTAGTGGCCAATCTTGAGATCACCGAGCAGGAGCTGGGCCTGGATCATGGTGTTGTAGCCGAGCGACTTGAAGGACATGACGGGCACAAGCTCACCAGGGACGATCAAACCCATGACAAACTCGGTCAGGACGTTGAGACCCACATACTGTCCCGAGATGGCAGTGATGGTGGTGAGAGGAATGACAAAGATGACGCCGATGGTGATGGCCAGGATGATGCCCCACCATTCGAGCTTGTATGGGGTGGCAAGGCCGACGTAGAACATGAGTGCAGTGGAGACCAAGAAGATGGCAAGGTAGGTCACGTTGCTGACTTCGGGGTAGGCAGCCATGAGCTTGTTGTGGATATCCTGGTGCTCGGGGTCCTCCTTGAGCTGCTTGAGAGCAACGCGGGTCTGGCGGATAATGTCCTTGCCGTACCAGAGAGCGACGTGGGTGACGGACGAGGCAATGGTGATGAAGGAGGCGGCGTAGACCAAAATAAAGGACATGCCGAGGTGGATGGGGGCAGCCGAGGCGTACTTGACGGGATCAAGCTCAAAGGTGGTGGGGTCGAGCAGGATGCGGCCGCTGAGGCGCTGGCCGAGGTTGGAGCCGTTGAAAAGACCATTCTGGTTGAGGTTGCCGCAACCATAGGGACCGGGATGTTTGCAGCCAATGGCCTGGGCATCCCAAAGGTTGTTGGCATAGGCGATGGGAACAATGATCCAGGACCAGAGAATATACCCAATGAAGCCAATGATGTTGGCCCACAGAGGAGTCGTCATGGGAGCCCAGGCACCGTTGAACTGGGACCAGTCGAGACTGACGGTAAGGATGCCGACACCCTGGCTAGCCGAGCCAAAGATATTGACGAGACTGCCGGCAGATCCAAAGAAGCAGAGGATGCACACCATCTGGATGGCTGGAGCGATGAAGCCGGGAATCAGGTAGTAGACAATGGTGATAACGAAGGCAATCCAGAAAAACTTGAAGCGGGAGGTCTTGTATCTCGGCGGAGCATCGTTCTTGTCGGTGACTTCGTCGTGGAAAGAGGCAAAGAGGGCGAGGATACCCAGGTTGCCGGGCCAGTACATGGCTGGGGGCTTGATCAAAAAGTCACGGGCCATGCCGGCGAGGCCGAGGCCGAGGCACTGGGTGGCAATGATCCAGAGAATGGACTGCCAGACGGTGATGTTGGTGTCGCCAAGGTACTGCGGAGCGACCTGACCAACGACGTTGTCGATGCCATAGGGGGTGCCGGTGTTGGACATGATGTAGATCAGGACGTGCTCCTTGATGGAGAAGGGGCCGGGGTTGAGCGAGTTCTCGACTCCAAAGAGCTTAAAGCGGACATCGGGCACAAACTTGGCAAAGAGAATACCGAGGGGATAGGAGCAGATCTGGGTGGTGCGAGACGGGTGAAGAGCAGGGCAGGGAATGGCATAGGGTGAGTGTGGGAAAGCCAAAGTCGATCAGGCACGAATCAGCCACGCGGCGATGAATGACTGCAGCTCGAATGAGACAAATCGGTGCTCGACCAACCAACGAGATCGGCCATAGAGAGATCGGGTAGGGCACCAGCGTTCAAGAGTCATGGCTAGGCAGCGCACGGACCATCAGCGCAGACGTGTACATGTGGACCATGCGTATGCATGGCTCTACTTACCACCGAGACATAGGCAGGGACACCAAAGGCGTTGGTACGGAAGGAGAGCACCGTGTTCACGACCGAGGTCAGAACGAAAAAGAAGGTCGACAGAAACAGGGCACGGACAGTAAAGCACGGGGTCGACGGATCGTCGGTGTTGGCGACGATGGCGCTGACTTGAGCATATGCGTTGTGGGCGTCGAGCTGCTCAACATCATCCGAATCGATGGTGGAGATGCCGAGGACCTCCTTCTCTTCGGTGTCGAGCTTGGGGGTGGTGGGGTGGTGCACCTTCTTTTGGGGAGCGGCGGCGGCTTCATCAGCCATCTTTGCGAACTGCCTGTGGGAACTGGCAAGAAGATCAAGCTGCGATGGGTTGGGAAGGAGGGGCGGCAAGCAGACGGTATTTATGCCTCGCCGAAGGAGGGGGCACGGCTGGGGCGCGAAGCTGAGGGGAAGGAGCTGAGCAGCGGCTGGGCAGCGAAGACGTCAGCCCCGCTGAAAGGCGCGCCTCATGGTGGAGGGGGTTCGTGAGATGGCTGCTGTCGTTGAGGGAACACAGCCGACACATGGCCGAGAAGGCAAGGGACAGGGGCGAGCCAGTCCGAGGCGGGTGGAAGGACAAGACACCCCGACGGGTGGACGAGCCATGTGTACAGATAAGGGGCGGGCGGCATGGCGGGCGCGCGCGTCGAGGAAGCGCATTGGGCGGGAACGGCTGTGGCGATCGAGAGTGAGTTGGTGGAGGATGGTCATGTGGGAGGAGAAAGCGACCCGATGCCACTATCGTCGAGAGTGCATGCGATGGCAACGGGGTGGGGAGGAGTACTTGCCTGGGCAGTCAAAGAGGTACACCAGCGACACAACGAGCAACTCCCTTGGGCCAGGAGCAGGAACTACTCGATGATGCAAGCGAACAAGATGACAGGCGCATTCGAGGAAAAACTGCCGGGCAGCAAGCCGGCCGTGGCATCGAAGGCGGGGGAGACAAAGTGGGGGGCCTTCGGGGTGGAGCGCAAGACGGATTGGATGAGTTACATGAGTTGCATGAGTTGCATGAGCTGCACGATTTGCAGAAGCCACCCAAGAAATCGACAGCCCAACAGCCGGGCCCACGGGAGCGCGTGGGAATGGACCCAAGCCCAGGCGCACGGGAGGCTGGCCAATCGGGGCGCGGGTATGACGGCGAGGCGCAGTCGATGGCGCGAACGAGCGCGGCGATTGGTCCGGCACAGTCCATTCGTGGACACAATGGGGCCCCCTGGCTGCCTTGAGACTCGAGTCAGAATTCAAGTCTTGTTCCAGTCTTGTGCAAGTCTTGTTCGCGTCCTGTCCAAGCCGAGTGCTCCCCCGCTGCCCCACCCCAGGGCTGCGTGGGTCTGGCGCACAGATCGCGCCTCTCGTATCGCCCACCGGCCGATGCAGAGCCCTGGTGACGTGCTCGCACAGCTCGAAGCCACCCCGAACGACCGGCTGTGGCTCGAGAAGAAGCAAGACAAAGCAAGCCGGGGTGCCGCCAAACAGCCCCGTGGTCGTCCTGATCACATCATTCATCCGAGGGGACCGCGCGCTGATCTCCACCCTTCCTTGCAGACCCGCAATGGATCGTCGGCCTGTCTGGGTGATGGTGATGGGCCGTTGCATCGGCTGCCCAAGTAGACACCGCACGCAGTTGCGCTGCTTGGAGCATTGCTCTTGACAGTTGAGATCCAGCGCGACATTGTTGCCGATCGGCTGCCTATTTTGTCCTGCTCGCCAGCCCAGGCTACATGGCTGCCGGCACGGATCTGCCATCGATTCTCCACCTGCTTTCGTGCCTGCGGGTAGCTACTTTTGCTCCTCCTTGCTTCCAGCCATGTGTCGGTCGGTCGGCCCTCGCATCCGTTTCGTGCCTCGTGCCTCCGCTGTTTGGCTGGGTGGGGCAGGCGTTAATGCAAGCATTGGAATGGGCGGGGAAGGCGGGTGACAGGCGATAGCCATGAGGCGGCCGCCTTCCTCTCGGCCTGTGCGAGGTGCTTAGCAAGATAGCCGCCACCACCGGGTTGGAAAGCGCTCTCCACCAAGTCACCAAGTCGCCAAATATGTCCTCGGGACTTGCAGCGAGGAGCCACCTCGAGAGGAGGACTGCCCTCGGCCGGAAGCCCCCCCCCAGCAGACTCGTTGGTCTGCCCATCCACTGCTTGGTCCCTCGCCGCCGCATGGACCAGGCCAACTTGCTCGGCTTGGTCTGCTCAGTCAGCGCAATCTGCTTGGTTCATTCGGTCGGCCTCTCGGCGGCTTCGTCCATAGATAGCTTCTTCACGACGATAGTGATGTCGCCACCGACGCCTTCCCCCTTGGGATGTGAATCGCCGGCGTGCTCCTGCTTCGGCGTCGTTCTTGGGTGGTTTTGTTGCTCCATCGACCCCGATCGGTATGTTGCTCACTCTTTGGATGGTGCCGTCGCCACACAACCGACGGCATAGCAAGCCGCCCATCTTGCAACTGGGATCGGAGTGGGCGTCATCCAATCTTGGACAGACTCGGTCGGCGTCGACTCTGTGTGGTCCAGTTTGGTCGTAGCTGCTTTCGAAGCACTGTGCCCTGTCCGTTGATGCTGTGAGCATATGCCGGACCACGATGCCTCACGATGGAAAGCGGCAAGCGGACTCGTCGACTTGGAGCAGTATTTGTCCCGGGAGCGCAATCCGTTGAATTCCCAGCGGTAGTGGGCCGACATTGGGCAGCTTTGGTCACAACCGGGTGGGAGCGCCTGCGACTTGCGGAGTGTCCACCATCCTATGGGACCGCCACAGGCTCTCCAGTTCGAGGAAACGTCTTCTTTGGAGGGCTGATTTGGCAGCTATCTCGCAGCATAGGGATCGGTGAGTGACAGTGAGGGTTCTGCTATTTATCCATCGAGCAGTCTCTTCAAGGTCGATGTTTGCAGCTCATAAAGAGAAACAGGACAACATCTCGAGTCCCGCATGCCACATAGTTCTGTTTCGAACCACCACGACCAGCTGCCGATGGGGACTGGCATTATGGTTTTTTGAGAGTGCCTCGTAGACGCAAGGGAAGGAATACGCTTCAAGGCGGTGGTTGATTCAAGAAGAGCGGAACCTGGCCATCCCGGTTCGTTCTGATCAATCTATATAACCGACTGGGGCCATTTCAGCTTGCCGTGGGGTCTTGGCATCCAGCCTTGGCATCCGTGCTTGGCGTGGGACTCGCCAGTGTCGATCGGCGCTCGCACTCCCTGTCCTGCGTCTTGCTCCTCATACTGGGCATGTTCTCTTGCCCTGGCTTGCAGCGACTGTATCTGCGGCGACTTGCTGGTCCTCGTCGTGCCCACCTGCGCGATGCATATCCCTGCTCACACCGGACGCCACAGGGACACCCCTGCTCAAGTATTGCCATCCGCGAATGATGTGTCCTGGTTCAAAATTGGTACATTCTATTTTTAGACCTGATTTCGAGCTCTCACATCGGGCCGTTGGGCGGCAGCATGCTTCGCTACTCTCTCCCTCTTTCGCCTCCTCACCGCCAACACCGTCCCGACGCTGCCCGTCATGTCGCCGCCATGGTCCGATTCCCGCTGCTCCATGCTCGAGACGATCTCGCCTCTGATCGTCGACTTTCTCGATGTGCGCGATTGGACTCGACTTTGCGCCACATCCAAGGACACCCGAAAACGTCTATCGAGCCCGTTCTTCTGGAAGATTTTGTTCCAGGAAATCCTGGGTCTGCCCGCTGCAGCCGTCGATGGAGACCATCGCCAAATCGCAGCAGCGGCCTTCTCGTTCTTGCACCGATCCCGCCCTGACCCTTATGCCATCGAGCAGCGTCTCTGGGGCGCCGTAAGCCGATCGCGGCGGTTGTGGAGGCAGGTTCGGCAGCTCAGTCTCATCCACAGAGCTGTCCTGTTTGAGCGGTGGCCACACACCGGCCAGCTCGCCCGACCAGAATCCAAGGACCTGGAGGACTGGATCGTGGACAGAACCTTGCCGGACTCGATTGGTGTGCAGGATCTGGATTCCTTCGAGATGTTCCAGGATCAGATCTGTATCGGCCTGCCCGAGACCGCCTGCTTCTGGAGGCCGCTGGCCCTCACGCTGCAGGGGTACCAAAGTCACAGCCTCCCGCTTGCGTTCGGGTGCTTGCTCGACACTCTCAAGTCGCTCGACATCCACGGCGCCGACATTGTGCGCTTTCCCGAATCGTTCTTGCGGTACGGGCAGTCGAGCGCCAGCCTGGGCTTGCTTGGGACCCGAGGATCGCTTTCGTCCGTGTGCCTTCAGCAGAGCGCAGAGCCGGTCTGCGACAAGTCTGTGGTCGCCACAACGAAAAGCTCGTCTCGGATCGGTTCCCACACCCGATCTGCGTCAATCCCACGGGCAGTCTCGCCGCCACCATTCCCACCGCTCTCGCAGCTCCAGCTCTCAAAGTGTCGCTTGCTTGTCGATCTAGAATGTGTCCGCCCCCTCGTCAACCTCACCACCCTCTCGATTTCCGAGTGCCCGCATCTTCACAGCCTTGCACCGCTCTCGAGTCTGTCGCGGCTCCGCTATCTGCAAATCGTCTCGTGCCCGCTCATCAGCAACATCGAACCGCTTGCCTCGCTCCAGCAGCTGCAGCATCTGGGCCTCTCCCGCTGCCATGCTGTCCGCTCTTTCCGACCCCTGGCGCTTCTTGGCCGGCTCGGATCACTCGACCTCAGCGGCTGTATCGGCCTGGAGTCACTGGACGACCTCTCGAGTCTCGTTCGACTGGCTCGACTCGACGTGAGCTCGTGCCCGTCTCTGACCTCGCTCGACTCCCTCGACCGGCTCGCCAGTCTTACCTCCCTCACCATTAGCGGCTGCCGGCAAATCCCCTCCCTCAGTCCCGTGGCAGCTCTGCGCAAACTCAAGACGCTGTCTGCGAGCGACTGCGTCCTGATTGAGTCGCTGGAGCCCCTCCATGATCTCCCGGGGCTCGATCAGCTCTTTGTCTGCCAGAGCCATCCTGGTGCTGGCCTGCACACGGCCGTTGCCGCCATGGAGTCTCATCGAGCCATCAACGCACTCACGCCCACATGGATCATGTTTCAATGTGCGGAAGTCTATGGGCATCCAGACCCCGGACGACAGTAGCCATGTCCGAATGCAGCACGGGCGACTGCTGGTACACCGGGACCAAGGGCGAGACTACCACAACGAAACCACCATTGCGAGGAGCTCAACGGTGGCAGTATGTCGGACGCTCTTCACATCCCGCTCGCATGCTTCTTGCTTGAATATACGCATGCGTTCGTCTCCCGTCGATTGACACTGATCGTGTTGAAAATGAATCGACAGCATGACGGGTCGAGTTCATATGCGATGGAGGAGACAGCCTGCACGATAGCAAACTGCGGACAGGAGGGTGCTCAGAAGTGTGTGTGTTGGATTCTTGTATGTATATATGTATGTACGTATGTTTTGCGTGTATGCGCAGGTGGATAGGTGGGCGGTTATGGATCGATACCATCCTGGTGCTGGTGCTGGTGCCGGTACTGATAGACGGGGAAGAGCGTCTGGCTCGATCGAGCCGAGGCTGCAGGTTCGGCGTCGCCAGAGCTGACAGACCAACGAAAGCTTGACTCGGGGTGCGTTGGTGGAATGATATCGGGAGTGATTCCGACGGTGGATGCTCCAGAGCCGTCCCGGGGGAGAGGTGGCAGGGGAATCTGGGGGGCGGGATGCCGGTCCGTGGGCTGGGTCGATTGCGGAAGCGACATGGGAGCGATGGCATCCAGCTGAGGTGCAGTCGCGGGCGAGGACGATTGGAATACATACGGAGGTGGATCCACATATGATAACGACAGAGGAGGCAGGCGCAGAATCGCACCAAAGCCAGGGTTGTCGCCGTGCTGTGTAGAGACAGGGGCATATGCGTTGACGGGGCCTCGACGCATCGGGGTCCAGCCGGCACCAGCATCAGAGTCGCTGGTGACGTCGGCGGCCGAAGTAGCCTGGTGGTTGCGGTTGTAGTTGCGGCGGTAGCAAAACAGAGCAATGACCCCTGCCACCAAAACTCCTGGCAAAGAGACACACCGCCGATGAGATGCCGAATCGGGTCGAATCGGGTCGAGTCCAGTTCAGACCAGTGTGCGACAGACGTCTGATGATATACACATGCATCGTTTGGCCTACCTGCGGCAGTCGAGATTCCGGCGATCAGACCCACGGGAGGACTCTGAATGTCGGGAGGAGGCTGGACAGTAGCGGTGGGGGAGACCGTGCCCGAAGAAAGAGAAGCAGAATTGCTGGACGCCGAGGTCTGCGTGACCGATGCGACTGACGATGACGAGGTGCTGGCAAAGGTCTGGTTCGGGAATGTGGACGAGATGACGACGTTTGGGTTGTTGAGCCTGGCGCCGCCTACGTAAGAGTTGAGGGCTTGCTCATCGGCACTGACACCAAGGACGCACTGGTCGCGAACATAGTCGGATCGGACAAAGTGGCAAGTGTTGCAGCGTGGATCGGAGCAGGCAAAGAGTTCCAGGTAATGGCTGGTTGGGTTGAGAAGTGAGAGGCCGTATGCCGAGCCGTTGATATGTGTGCAGGTTGGATAGACCGGGAAGCGGTAGACCTCGTAGAGAATAGAACAGGTGGCGTCGTTGGAGGCGTATGTATAATAGAGAAAGTACGGTGTGTTGAGATGAGGGTCCCAGGTGCTGGAGATCAAGGAAGAGGGATGATGGTGATGTTGAGAATGAGCAAACGACGGACGGAAGATAGAAGGGAGCTGGATGAGAGGGCGCTCATCAAACGAGAGTGTGGCGGGATGGCAGCCGCATGAACTGCTGCAAGGCGTCGGCGATGGGTGCCAAGGGGTCGGCGATGGCTGGGAGACTGGGTCGCAAATGCTCGGGGAGACAAAATCATGGGCGGGGGAGATTATTGGCACAAAGAGAGGCCAGCGATGCCGCAGCAAGCAGGCGGGCCATACCTTGGGCTGGTGTAGTCCTGGGTGCTCAAGACGGTCCGTAGAGCACTGTTGCAGCTCAGCGACGATGTTGTTTTAAGGGAGCCATCGAGCTTGCAGCCTTTCTTGCATGCAGCATCGGACCCACAGGAGTAGAAATCCAAGTTCTTGGAGGTCGGATTGCGGGTGATGTAGGAGCACACCGTGGGCGAGCTCTGCTTGCTGCAGAGGCAGCGGTTGGTGAGGAGCAACGAATCGCCCAGGTTCGACAGAAGCTCGGAAGGCGTCGCAGCACTGAGGCAGCTGACGGGGGCATAGGTGCTCGTGTATGAGACGAACCACTGGAGCGAGTTGGGCTGGATGGGGACGAGGGCAGAGGCCATTGGTGAGGGAGGGGGGCGGATCTGGTCAGGGTCCAGGTGCAGGCCAAGGGAGAATGAATTGGGCCGATGGATGGATGGGTGGGCCGATGGATCGATGGGTCGGTGAAGGAATGGCCAGGGGTGGAGTGCCTGCAGGAACGGCGGGGCGGCAAAGGGCGATGAAGAAGGAACCAAAGGCGAGACGGCGCGGCCGTGGTGGCGATGGCAAGAGGGGCGAGCGACCCAGCCGGCCGGCAAGCAGATGGATATGCAAGGATTTGACGGAATGGATTTGGCTGCATGAATGCGTTGAGGGCTGCACATGGAGGGGAATCACAGTTCCAGGTGCCTCACCCCACGGCCTCTGCAAGCGGACATGGCTCAATGGCAATCAACCGATGCAATCAACCAATGCAATCAACCGATGCAATCAGTACAATCTCGTTCGAATGAGGGAATCAGCACCAGACGCCTCCAAAGACCGATCCCGAGATCCAGGTGCCCTCGTTGTCCTGGTGCCATCGCTGTCCTGGTGCCGTGGTGGTTGTCTCGCTGAGAATGCGATGGGACAGGCAGTCCGGCCCTTCTCATCCCTTCCTTGGCTCGGCCGGTTGGTCCGATACCTGCGTCTGCCACATTGTGTTGGCGTGTTGCGCCTTTTGGCTTCTCTGCGCCATGTCTGCTCCGTCGGCCCCGCCTTTGGTTTCGTCGTCCCGCCTTTGGCTCGGGCTGGGATGACCCCCAGCACCAATCGCCCACACCAGCGGCGTCCGGCAGGATCCCTCCTCTGCCCAAGCAGCCGCCAGAGACCGTCGACCACGGCAAGCAACCGCACCGCGGGAGACGATCGGCCTTGCTGGTCACCGGGGGGTCACTTTGGCCAGAGTAACACTGCCAGGCCGCTGCCAGCGGGGGAGGGTGGCGGATCGTGTTGGGCGGCCGCGAGTGATCGACTGTGTTGAAATGAGGCGAGTCTGCTGAATTGAATCGACGGTGGTGAATATCGCTCGACAGTGGTGAATATCGCTCGACAGTGGTGAATATCGCTCGACGGCCAAAGAGCCGCTTCACCGTCCATGTCTATCAACAACAAGCACCAGTGGCACTCCTTTGGCAATCGAGAGCCAGGCTCCATCAAGCATTGACTGCAGCCAAGACGGGCATTAACCAGCCATCGATTTCAGTCAAACTTGCTCTGTCCGAACGCAGGCTGGGTGGTGTCGCTGTCCCCGAGTCGTCAAGGGCCAACTGGCCCGGTGCGACAAGTGAGCCGGACAATGTCGCAGCGCCGGTCCACCGAATCCAGAGCACTCTTTCGTGTTGCCCATCCCACGAGAGCCACCGTGGCCCCACTGCACTGCATCAACTGGGTCAACTGCATGGGCTGTCTCGGTTGTGCCCGTCAATCCCATCTGCACATCAGTCGTATCGGCAGTTCCTCACCACTCACCCGCATGCCCGCCTGGTCGCTGGGCTCGGCTCCCTCCCCCCGATATACGGGCCAGCCTTCGTCCCTCGCCCGCCGTCGCCCGAGCCAACTCTTCTTCCTTTCCAATCCCCTGGTCCACCGGCCAGTCTTCTCCGCCTCGCTCCCCGGCTGCACTTATATCCGTCGCCTGGTCCATCCCCCGTTCTTGCCTCCCCCTCCCTTTGCATCCGTATCTGTCGCCGTGCACCCTTCCTTGCCTCACCAACTCTGTCCCCTGGCGCCATGAACGACATTGACTACCACACCTGTCTGGTGGTGCAGTACGCCATCATCAGCTTGGCCATCCTCAACCATCTCTTCAACATGCAGTTTTTCTTGCGGCGCTTCATCTCCCGCAAGAACCGCAGCTGGTTCAACTACCTCTTCTTTGTCATGATCTTCCTGGCACGTACCGCTCCCTCTTCCCGCGCTGCTGCTCCATCCGTCCGCATCCACCGCCAGACTGCAGTTGGGTGCCCGTGGCTCTCCTTATCGTCAGGGCTAACCAGGGCTGTCCCTCGGCTGCTCGCTCGTCCGCCGTGCTGCATCTGGATCCACAGGTCACTCCCTTTGCCATGTCCGTCACCGCCGCTCTGGTGCCCTTCCAGACCCTGGTCCTCAACGGCAGTCAGGATCCGTACACTGTCAGTATCTGTATGGTTGCTCTTGGCAGACCCGCCTTACCGAGTCTCAGGATGCCGTCGTCCTCTTGATGTCTCGATCCAAGAGGAAGGCAAGCTTGCTCGAATGCCTGCCTGCCCCCCAGTCGCTCTGCCAAGTGGCCCACCAGCGCCCCTCTGACCCATTTCGGCTCTCCAGAATGTAGTCTTTGGTCTCCTGATCCGGCTGCTGAGCATCTCCATCACGCTCTACGAAGTCGTCACCATCTACTTCTCGTACCGCAGTCTCAAACTGCTGCAGCCCATCCTGGGCTTCTCGAACTCGTGGGTGAGTCCTATGGCCGTCCGCGTTCCCTGTTCCGCCTGCTCGTCTGCATTCCCTGTTCCGACGGTCACATTGCCCAGACCAAAGGAAGCTTTCCGGCACTGTGGTGGTCGCCCGGCGATCCCATGCCGTGCTCTATGCTCCAATTCGCTCGCCGATTCATCCTTCTCGCGTATTCACTATTCTCACGGATTCATCATTCTCGTGCCTGGCTCCTCTTCCATCCAGGACTATCTCGCCCACGGTATCAATCTTTTGCTTGCCGTGCTCTTCCTTCTTGCGACCCAAGTCACCACCCTCTCGAGCTGGAGACGAGTCGCCCAGTTCGTCTATGCCATGTCGACCTACGTTGCGTGGCTCATAAGCACAACCATCATGATCAAGGAGCTCGACAAGTGGAAGAACTATCTGGGTCAGGTACCCGATAACGCCAGCATCCACAGCAACCTGCTCAAGCCCTCGACCATCTCCTCTGTCCGCAAGGTGCGGATTACCTACTACTCCCAGCTGCTCATCTGGTAAGCATCTCGGGATAGCAAGAGGCGCATGGCTCCCTTATCTCGATCGATCTCGCATCTGTCGTCGCCTGTCTGGTGCATCATCGACTGTCGCTGCCGCGGCCCACCAACACCCAAACTCCGATTTGCCATGAATCGCCATGAATCGCCATGAATCGCCGTGCTCATGCGCCTGGCCCTCCTTCCTCCCTGCTTGCCTTTCATTGATCTGCCCTGCAGCTTCCTGGGCACCGTCTGTCTCGGCGTCAGCACCGTCTTGACCGACATCACCCCGAATCTCGCCCTCGGCATCGTCCGTGCGGGAACCCTCTTCTCGGCCTCGTATGACACCCTCGCTCTCGTGATGATGTACGAAATCCTGCCTGAAAAGGTCAAGCGAGACCCCACCAAGAGCGGATTTGCTTCCCGCGCAACGGCGACCAACATCAACCGAAACGACGCCGTCGCCCGCTCCCGCATGTCGTTCTCAGAGGAAGACTCGTCCGACTCGACGTGTCCCCACAGCACCCGTTCCGTCGACGACATTGTCAAGGCTCCCTGAACATCATAACCACCACCATCATCCTCACATCTGCACTGACCTCACGCCTCTCACCATTGACGGCTGTGTGAGTAGCCCACTCCCGCCGTCTCCTCTCATATCGCCATTGCCAAAACACAAACCGGTCGCCTGTTTGCTTTCTCCATTTTTGTTGTTGCTGCTTCTGTAGCCTGGGCTCTCAACCAGGTCGAACGGTTGCTTGTTTTCTGCTTGCCAACCCCCTCCCCCTGCATCGCTCCGTACAAGAGCTGCCCCCGATGCCCAAATACATCCCTGAACTCTCTCTGGCTTTTTCATCGACATGTGCTGGTGGGATCGCGGAACTGTTGCCGATCCATGCATTGAGGATCCAGGGGCCTCAGTGAGTGGAATGGCTGCCCATTTCACCATGTGCGTGAGTGGCGATGGAGCGGGTTGCTGTTCAAAGCCGTGTGCTGTCCGGGTGTGGGCGGTTCGCCGGTGTCTGGGCAGGAAAGGTGGTGTCGTTGGGCTGAAGCAATCATGACGAGCCGCCGTGGACATGTCAAGGACGGGAGCGACGGGAGCGACAGGCGGGGCCAATGGTGAGTTGAGCCGAGCGAGGAACAGGACGGATAGCGGACAGGGTCGGGATGCAGAGACAAGGGGAATCCAGTCCAGGCATCGAGGGGGGGAGGGTCGAGGGTCAAGGCATCCCCTGGCTGTCGGCGTGGGTGCCAACAAAAGGGACAGCCGCGATGGCCGATTCCGCCATCGCGCTCGCTCCTCGTCGAAAATGCACTCCATCAAGAGACTTTTGGTCCTGCTCGCTGCCTGCTTTGTTGTCCTGGCGTCCCTTGGTATGCTCTCCTCGCCCTGTGCCCTGGCGACGACCGATGGATGGATAGACGGACGGACGGATGGATGGATGGATGGATCGATAGATCGACGGATGGATGAATGGATGAACGGGCCGAGGCAGGAATCGATAGATGGGATGCTCCAAGTCGCGCGTGATTCAGCGCAGATGGCCCCCAGTCCAACGATGCGTGTTTTGATGCACGATGGCAAGATTCCCCTCGACATTTGCCCACCGACCACACACCACCCGGGCTCGGCCCTCGATCTGCTGAATGGCCACTGCAGCCGCCTGGTCCAACGCGGCATCGATGCTGGCTGCGTCTACCGAGGCATCAGGCTCCATCCCCTCGCAATCTATATCCAAGTTATTCGCGCGAGGCATATCGGGGGGAAAGCACTCGCTAGCCCACTCGGAATCAACTAAACGGTTCGCCGGAGACGGTCGCCGGCACGGTGGAGAGATGTAGTTTTGGTGGATCAAGATGATGACTGCCGATTTCGACACGGCTCACTCGATCTTGCCCACACGCTGGCTCCGATTGCTGGCACAATCCCCCCCCCATTTCCAACGAGCCACTCTCTCCGCCACTGTCCCGATGAATCTCGTCGCTGACCTGATGAATCCCAGCCTCCACACACTTCCTGCCGACTCTGCTGACTCTGCTCTCGTGCATTCGCAGTGGCCGCTCAGAAACAGAAGGTCACCGACAAGGGAAATGAAGAGTTCCTCCGCTTGATGCGAGCCCAGGTCGCCAAGGCCGGCGTCGAAAAGACCTCGGATCTTGTCTTCAAGGCTGTCGTTACTGGCGAGAAGGGTGCGTATCTTGCTGTGCCAACCCGAGCCACTGGATTGCGCTGTCCTCCCACTCTGGCGATTCTGGCGATCCTGACAGTGCTGACAATGTTCTCCGTGGCTTCTGCTGCTGCAGGCCTCACCTATGTCTCGGGCCAACATTCCAACATCGATATCTTTGTCGCCAACAAGGGCACCCAGAAGCACACCATCTTTGGCGTCTTTGCCTCCCTCACCAACTCGGGCGACTACAACAAAGTTGTCCGCAACGTACGTCCTTCCACACCACACCATCTTTCGGGGCAGTGCCTCGCACCGGGGACGCTGGATCCGACTTTCGTTCATAGCGTGTGGCAGCCCGCACCTTCATCGCAATCACCAGTGTGGGCACATCGGCAGGCGCCTGTCTGACCCTGCTTTTGCTGCCTCGATCCGACGGCGCTATACCAGTTGACCTTGGCCGGCTACCAGATCCCTCTGAAGGCAGGCTCCAACCTCACCTTCACTTACCCCTTCTCCATCGAGACCGAGGCCATGGAGCTTGGATACGTCCTCTATGTTGACTACTACGACTCGGTAAGCGGCCTGGCTGGTCGTGGCTGCTGGCGGACTCTGCCTTGATCCCATCCGTGTCCGTGTCGGAGGAGTCAGCGTTGTAGGCACTGTCCAACAGCAGGGGCATTCCAGTCCAAGGCATCCGCGTTTGCCAACACATCCCTTACCCGCATATCCCATAGGAGGAGATTCCCCACCGCATCGTTGCCTTCAGCACCCCCGTCAAGGTTGTTTTCGGCGACAGTCTCTTTGATTTGCAGAGGTAAGAGAATGGCAGAGTCGTTTTGGCTGAGCCCCGGATGACCCTGGCTGCGAGCTCCTCTTTGTGCGTGTGTGCCGTGCAAGGGGATCTTGGCTGCCGTTGCTGACGCCGACATTATTCTCCAGCCTCTCCATCATCATCGTTATTGGAGGCCTCATCGCCGGTGGCGTGTACCTCTCCAACACCAGCACTGTTGCCAAGGTGAGTCGGATGGCACTGTGTCCCACACGGACAGAGTCATGGAAGGGAAGGGACTCTCCGAGCAATCGCCAAATGGCCCAACTCCTGCCACCATTCGACGGCGCTCGTCAAATCAGCAAATCGCGATCAATCCTGACCCACAATTCCCGTCGATTTTGCCTGTTTCGCAGACCGTCAAGAAGGAAAAGGCTGCCCTGCCCTCGCGCGAAGAGGTCGAGCTGAAGCGCTCCCAGCTCAACGAGGACTGGATTCCCGAGCACGTCCTGAAGGCCGAGAAGGCCAAGGGAAAGAAAAAGGCCCAATAAACCCGCCGCGCCGCTCCCGATGCACGCACGGCTATTGCAGGACCTTTGGATCTTGTCCATCTTCCCCACTGCACCCTCACCTCATCCTCCCTCCACTGCGCTCTTTCCTGCCTCCGCTCTCCTCCGTGTCCATGATCCCTCAGGCCCCGATATTGGCCACCTGCTCTCTTTCCTTTGGGGTCGCACCTGCGTTCCCAAGGTGAGGAAGCCCGCAGCCCACGCCTCCTAGCTGGGAGGTGTTCCACCTCCATTGTTCTTTCCGTACTTTTCCATGTGCATGATCCAGGATCTTTGTCCGCGGTGCTTCCTCTGGTTCCTGATCACATTCTTCCCTCCCCCTCAGTTCGTGATCGATCATTACTTTTTCCATTTTCTCTCTCTCTCTCTCTCGTTGCTGTTACTGCCGCCTCTTTGCTCTTTATTCGGATGATTACATCCCTTCAATACAGCTTGATGGCAGAGCTGAGATTATGGACATGCTGGGGGGGGGGTTCCTTCGGTGAAGTTGGCTTTTGCATTGAAGTCAGTGAGACAAGTGCAGTAAGGAATCGAGAGGCTGGAAGAAATGCGACAGAAGAGATTTTGCACATGAGCATAGTGCCGAAAAGCCAAGCGACTCGAGAAGGCCGAGTATCTTGATCGATACACCATGGAACTGTTCAGAGCGTCGAGTGAATGCACACACTCCCACATCGAGGGAATGCACACACTCACACATCGAGGGCTTGATGCATAGCCCTTGCCTTGCTGCCATGACGCATTGCCAAAGGCAATCACCAAATCGGTCCGTATCGGGGCGTGCTTCAGGACGGCCTTGCTCACTGGGGTCTACGGATCAGCAGACCTCTGAAGCCAGAATGGGGAACTGTCCCATTCCTTCATGGATCCGACTGTATCGAGCGGTCTTCAGCCCAGCACGGCTCCCAGTCCAGGGATGGCTCCCAGCCATTGTCCCGCCGTTTGGCGCCATTTTGTCATTCCCTTGGCATATGAAACGGTCGAACCTCCGGCCTCATCCCTTCGTTCATCTGGCGGTATTATCATCTTTCTCAACACACCTCCACTCCTTACTACAGGCACTGCTTCCGTGTTACCGCGCCTGACTTCTCCAACATCATATTTGCAAGACCACAGCCGTATCAAGGCACGATGTTTGGTGCGAATCCCAATAAAATTGTTATCAGATCAGCGTCTTCCAGTGGTCTCGAAACTGAAGGACTCGAAACTCAGGGTATCGAAACTCGACCATTCTTGGTTCCACAAGACGCCTGGAATACCATGATTTCCATCACCGAAGAAAATATGGCCAAAGTTCAAGCCATAAGGAACGAAATTAGCGCCATGCATATCACGGTTCAAACTCTTTCCGCTCGTTATTCTCCTCCCTCCCTTGATGATCGTTCCAATCAAGTAACCGACTCCCAACCCGAAACTCCAAGGGCCCAAGCTCCTTCTTGCGTTCAGGACATGACAGTACCTTTAAAGTTCCCTCCCAGAAAAGTTCTCCGGCGAGGATCCAGATCAATTTCCGTCGTTTGCAAATTACCTCCGCGTGCTGTTTCGGAACCATTCTAGATCGTTTTGTGACGACTTGTCCAAGATATCCTATGCTCTTACCTACCTATCCGGCTCCGCCCGTAGATATTGCAATGTCCATATGGAAGAGCCGTATTTCTTCTCACGCTCTTTTGACGATTTCCTTGCTGAGCTCGGGCGCATTTTTGGTCGACCCATGGATCCAGATGTCGCCTTCTGCAAATTAGAATCCCTTCGCCAAACCACATCCGTGGATCGTTTTGCCGCCGAGTTCCGAACTCTTTCCCGAGCGGCGAAGATCACCGACCTCACCGCGATCCAATCCTATTTTCTCAAGGGACTCAAGCCCCCTGTCCGAGCTCGCATTCGTATGAGAGACAATGTTGCGAATACGTTCGAGACACTCGTCGACCTGGCCATTCGGTTGGACTCCCAAATCATGATAGAGTTGTCTGAAGATCGTCACGATCGATCCCATCGGGGAACAGACAGGCACATCTGATTTTCCCAATCGGCCCCTCAAGCCGTTCCAAGGTTCTTCATTTAGGAGTCGCCGAGCCGGCCGAACAAATCCCCAAGAGAAATCGGGGGGGGGACATAATGTTCCTTTGAGATCTCTTGGAGGAAGTCGCTCCCCCTTGCTTAGCGGTTGAGCTGGAGAAGCGTCGGGGTCCGTCATATGGTGGCCAGAGTCAGCTGTTCGTTAACTACCGGAATAGCGTGTTAATAATGACATGTGAAATGAACTTTCGAAAATATGAACAAAACAGGCTCGGGCAGGTCTCAGAGGCTCACAAAGGCATTGTCATTCTGAGAACGCCCCCAGAATCGTCGGCGCTCGACCCGTTCATCTGCCAAGGTAGACAGGCTATAAATGTGGAGTTGTCAGTCGAGTCGAGGATGAGGATAAGCAAGCATGATTGACTCACCAGGATGACGACGGGTCTTTGGGGCTCATGGGTCCAAAACACGATTCTTCCTGTTGTTGTGAAGGAGTACTTCTCCCAGTCTCCAATAATATGATCTGGGATTTTAAATGTGTGACCATTGTGACAGATCCACCTTGGATGCTTTTGGCATCGTACTAGCTCCTCATAAGCGCGACGGTTGGAGACGGATTCGAGATTGATGTGGAGTTCATGGCAACGATACCAGCCGTCTCGATGGGGGATCCAGAAGATTTGGTTACCATAGTAGTCACGAGACAGGATTGAGTTGCCGTCGGGGATGATGGAGACGGAGTGAACTCTGCTCAAGGGACCATCCAGGGTTTGCTTCAACTGGCCCGTGGTGGTATCCCACACCTTGATCGTCTTATCACTCGAGCCGGAGGTAATCCACTCGCCGTCGAGTGAGATCGCCACGGAGTCCACTTTTTTTGTATGTCCCTCGAGGGTGTGCTTCAGCTGGCCCGTGGAAGAATCCCATACCTTGATCGTTTTATCACTCGAGCCAGAGATAATCAACTTGCCATCGGCGGATATAGCAACGGACAACACACTGTCTGTGTGTCCCTCCAGGGTCTGCTTCAACTGGCCCGTGGTGGCATCCCACACCTTGATCGTCTTATCACTCGAGCCCGAGGTAATACACTCGCCGTCGAGTGAGATCGCCACGGAGTTTGCTTCTCTTGTGTGTCCCTCGAGGGTGTGCTTCACCTGGCCCGTGGTGGCATCCCACACTTTGACAGTGTTGTCACCAGAACCAGAGACAATCCACTTGCCATCGGCGGAAATTGCGATGGAGTACACATACCATACGTGATTTCTTAGGGTGTGTTTCACCTTGCCAGTGGTCACATCCCATACCTTGATGGTCTCATCCCGCGAGCCGGAGGCAATCCACTTGCCATCAGGCGATATCGCCATAGAATTCACTTCCCTTATGTGATCCTTGAGAGTTTGCTTCAGCTGGCCCGTGGCAGAATCCCACACCTTGACGTTTCCGTCACCTGAGCCAGAGACGATCCACTTGCCATCGGGTGAGATTGCCACAGAGTTCACATCGTTCATGTGTCCAGTAATTGTCATCACACACGGATCCCAGGTGGGTGCTGGACCGGCTGTGACCAGGAACGGGATCTTGTCCTCGAGCTGGTCGGCATATGTCTTGTAGATCACCGTCTCCTTCGGTGTGAATGCATACCCCGAGTTGTACACCTGTGGTGCACTCTTGATGATCGGATCGGCAAACTCGCGGATGAATCGATACGTGTCCTTGACCAGTTCCTTCGTGGTGTCATCGACGATGGTGCTGGGTGCCTTGGCGACCACTCCTCGCAGCACAGCCAGTTGCTCGATGATCGGCTTGACCACATGTGTGAGTGACCCACACTCGAGCCAGAAGAACACATGCGTCTTGACGAACCGAGTGAGCACCGCTGCCACATCGACCATCTCGGTCGACTGCCACACCGGACTCGACTCGGCCACTCCTTCCACACACCACACAAAGTGTGTGATCCAGTGGGCGACGCTGTATCGCTGCGACGGTGTGATCTTGGCTGCGACCCTGTCCTCGAGGTCAGCGATCTTGTCGTGGAACTCGTAGATATCGCAGATGTTGATCACTGGCTCGTGCGAGAGGATCACTCCGAGACATCCCTTGGCAAACACCGTGTGGAACGAGCCCGACACATGCCACCGATGGCCAGTCGATGCATCGCCGAGGAGATAGTCCGCCACCGACTTGTGGTTGAACTTGACCTCGTTGTTGGTGGACTGGCTGCCTCGGGGATCCAGTCCATTGGCGCCAGGATCGAGGACCAGACTGAGGCTCTTGAGACACTCGCGAACGACGCCGATCTCGAGTCCAAACACATCGGCGATGATCTGCGGGGTCAGGATCGACTGGGCCGTGGCGATTGCCGACACCACCGTGACCAGCTCGGCCGGGTGGCTCGACTGCGAGTGGATCTTGGCGAATGTCTTGTGGTACAGCTGGCCGATATCGGCGGCGCTGTCGTTGATGTCCTTGATCGTGGCGAGTGTCACTGGGCCGTCCGTGGATGCTGCGTCGACGGTGTTGAGGAGCAGGTTGATCCACACGAATGTCTTGGACTGGTCCAGCAGGATGGCGACTGCCTCGGTGCGGTCCGAGTCACTGAGAGTGTCATACGCTCGCAGTCGGTGGCGGATGAACACCTCGAGGTCACGGACGTTCTCCTCGCTCGAGGGTTCGATTGTCTTGGTCGGGACTCCATCGAATGCTGCCTTGATGTCCTCTTCGGGACGGGATGTCAGCAGCAACTTGAGCCATGGACGGGTCTTGTTCAGTTCGACGAACCGCACGGCAAGCAGACTGAGCAGCTGGTCGCGCGGAGAACACTCGTCGAGTGCATCCACCAGGATCATCACCGATCCCTTGGGTCTGTAGTCGCCGATGGCTTCGAGTGGATCGGAAATCACGGCCTTGAACAGATCGGGGATACTCATCTTGTCGAGACTGTCCTTGGTGTGGCCAGCCTCGAGCAGCTTGCGGCCAATCGGCGAGTGCCACTTGCACAGACCATATGCGATGGTGTTTAACACCACTCGTGGATCGCTCTTGCGGATGTCGTTGTACTTGAGGAACAGCGCCGACACCAGCTGGTTGCTGGCTGTGAGGATGTTGGCGATCTGGGCGGCAGCAACAGACTTGCCCACACCAGCAACGGCATTGACCCACAGGACAGTGTCGGTGGTGTCCTGGTTGACCCACTCGGTAGTCTGGTCGAACAGCCACTGGCGGGTTCCCTCGACATACAGATCCTCGAGTGCTCTTCTGTCGGAAGTGGAGTCGACTGGATCGAGGAGGGATCGCAAGAGCGAATCCTGTTCAGCAGTGAGCTGGATGGGACTATCCTTGTGGTATGTTGCTCCTTGGACTGCTGCCGTCTTGGTCTTGGTGATCAGGTTTCGGATACTGGGGACGAGTCTGTGGATCGATGGC